AAATTAGGAAGAAAGATAAAAGTTTCTCCAATCTGAAAGGAAGGGAGAGTACTTTAGTGTCGTGTTTTATGATCATCCTTATGATTATGGAACCATGTCACAATTGATCCTCTAAGGATAACTTAGTGCATTTGTATGGCTAAGAAGAGGAATCGTGAATTGTTGAAATGGTTAAATCAAAAGGTGAATCATATTTCCTTCCAAAATCAAGTCTTAGAGTCATACTCCATGATTGTGCGTTGAGTGACATAATCTTAAGAAAGATTTATCAAATGTACAGTAAAATATTTTCTACTCTTGTACATTTGAAATTGGTAAATTGTGATGTTTTGGATAAAACAAAGATCAACTAAGACCGATTGTTAGAAGTGTTTGTCTTGATAAGAAACCGCACTAACTCTTGAATATTTGATTGTCAAGTAATGTTTCTTGACAAAGAGAGTCTAAATGTCAAGAGGTCAGTGGTAGTCTTAAGGATCTTGAAAGTTTCAAGAATTAATCAAGAGTAAACCTATTATTAATCACTAGCACATGACTTGAGGTTTGTAACCTATCGTGTTGACATATTCTTATTTTCTATGCCCTTTCCAGTTGGTTGACTATGCATGTGAGTTCTATGAGTACTCAATTGTTTGCATAACAACTTGGAAGAAATGGTAAGCGCTCGTGTTACCAAGTGGCAAGAAATTAAGATTGAACAAGTTCAGTCCATATGAGTTTAGATTTGTCACTAACCTTCTCTTATGATTATGGTTATGACAAATTCACATGGATAGGAACACATACCCATGACTCTTGGAAACCTACACTATATAAATGTTATCCCTTAGCCAAAATCGGTGACCTTAAGTATTCTAAGAGAATCATAACACTTGAGGTGCTAAGCTCTTGAAAGGCCAAAACTAAAAGATATAATAAAGAGCTATTCTTCTAATATGATTTTATGATTTATGTACTAAAATTTTATGCTAGTTGTAGGCTTCATGCTTTGGAATTTTATTGCATGTATTGTTGGGTCTAAAATTGGTTTATACTTTTCTTTTCTAAGCATTTATTGTTTTTAGTCTTGGGCGAAATTATTATTGGGTTTATTTGTAGCTTGGACCGACAACTCATGTGTTTTCGGTCCATATATATATATATATATATATATATATATATATATATATATATATATATATATATATATATATATATATATATATATATATATATCGTGTCTAGGAGGGGAGGGGTGGCTAGAGAGCATTCATTCTCATATGCATGTGCTAGAGAGAGATAACTAGAGATAGAAAGTTAGAGAGAGAACTAGTGTCTGTTTTTGGATCTTGTATGTTGGAGCTTTATTCCAATCATCAATACATCATAGATTCATCTAGTTCTTCTTCTTCTTCGCCATTTGATCTTACATCGTCCACTTGATTGGGATTCCGCACCATCAAGTGGATCTGATTGATACATCAAGCGTTTTTGGGGACTTACAGTTGGTATCAGAGCTTGGATTGTATCAATATCTTTGGCAAGATCAGGGGCGTTTTTGCACTTTTTCTTGAAGGATTTTATTTTTTGGATAGTTTTTTGAAAAATATTGGGGGTTTGTTCTTCGTGTTTTTCATAAAAATGGGTTTTTGATCGAGTTTTGGAGCTAAAAAGGTGAAAAGTCGCGTTTTTTGGTCTTAACCAGCGAGGGTGTGGCGGTCGGAAATCTCGTTTGCGGTCAGCAGCGTTTACAGCCGAAATCCGTTCTCGGCCTCGGACGTTTTCGGCTACGGCCGTTGCGTACGTGTTCGGTCAGCAATTCTTGCATGTATTCGCTTCGTATTTTCGGCCCAGCAGGTGTTTGGTTGCGTACGTGTTCGGTCAGCAGTCTCGTACGTGTTCGGTCAGCTCCTACCTTCGTTTACGATCCTCGAATTTCTGGTCGGAAGTGAATATTCAAAAAATCTTGGTTGTAGCAAGGATCGGACCTGGGTCTCTCACACATACAACCCACGCCCTTACCAATCCGTCTACCAAGCCACATGTTATACGTCTTCCAGGTTTAGTTCAAGTAGCTTTGCTTTTTCGGTTCTAATTTCGGATTTTTGTCAATTTTGGCCCGAAATTCAATTTTTCGAATTTTAAAGTTTCGTTTTCAACCCAAACCGTTAACTTTTGATTTTTGACTTCCTCAATTGACTTTTGACCCTAAAAATTGACTTTGACTTTCAAGTTTGACCTTTGACTTTAAACTTTGACTTTCTCGTTTAACTTTCAAGTTTTCAAGTTTAGCTTTTCGGTTTGACTTTTCAAGTTTGACTTTTAAGTTTTACTTTATAAACTTGATTTTTAAGGTTGACTTTCTTAGTTTCAAGTCAAAGGGCATTTTTGGTAAACAATGATTTCCTCAAACATTCCAGTCAATGAAGTTTCATGCTCTCAATCTTGTGAAGCTACGATTAAATTTCTTCGTGAACAAAATGATTTGCTAAAAAGGGAAAATGAGGACTTTAAATATGAAGGATATACACTTAGCAACACTTCGCGACCAATGCTGCGCTGATCGCCTCATGACTCACCGATAGGTATACTGTTAATACTTCATTTTTTAAAGGACTTGTCGGGGTCGGCAGTTGTTTGAGGCATCCCTTCAATTTATAGAGTGCTTGTTCCGCCTCATCTGACCATAGTATATCTTTCTTGCCTGTCAATGTTTTCAATGCTTGGAAGAAAGGTATCGTCTGGTATGCTGACTTATCCAGGAATCGCCCCAATGCCACTAACTTGCCATTAAGGCTTTGTATTTCCTTCACTGTTCGTGGTGTTGCCGTCTTCAACAAACTTTCTACCTTTTCAGGGTTCGCCTCTATCCCTGTTTCTGTTACAATATGGCCCGAGAACTTCCCTGTTTGCACTCCAAAGATGCATTTCTTGGGGTTAAGCTTCATGTTGGTCGGTCGTAGCCTCTTGAGAGTCTCTTCCACATCTGCCAGGAAATCATCATCGTACTTGCTCTTGATCACCATATCGTCTACATATACCTCAACTTTTCTTCCCACCTTTTTCGCGAATACTTTATCCACCAACCTTTGGTATGTCACCCATGCATTTTGTAATCCAGAAGGCATCTTTGTGCCGCAAAAAGTCCCTCTCTTAGTATGAAAAGTTGTTCTGTCTTTATCAGCCGCGACCATCTTCACTTGATGATAACCTTTGTATGCATCCAAGAAATATTTCCATCGGTATCCTCCTAACGACTCGATATTATGATCTATTTCTGGAAGGGGATAGCTGTCTTTCGGGCATGCTTTGTTGAGGGCGGTGAAATCAATGCACATTCTCATCGTTCCATCTGCTTTTTTTTACTAGCACCGGATTGGCATTCCATTTTGGGAATTGTGTGACCCTCATTACTCCGGCTTTTACTAATGCTTCGACTTCCTTGTTGACGATTTTGTTTCTTTCTTTGGCCATGGTATGCTTCTTTAGCATCACTGGTACGCATGAGGAATTGATGTTCAAGTGATGTTCTATTATTGATCTTGGGATACCTGTCATATCTGCGGGTACCCATGCGAACGTATCTTGATATTTTCTCAGTATCATCATCAAACCATCTTGCAACACTCTAGGGAGCTTGACCCCTATTTTTATTATCTGATCCCTGTGGTGTTCATTGACAACTACCTCCTCTGTATCTACCAAAGAAATTCCTTCTTCTTCCATGGGCTCAGCTTTTTCTGGTTGTAAAGCTTTGCTACGCTCAGGAGGTCCTGTGGTGGTTTTTTGAAATATCTCCACTCCTTCCTCAGTAGGAAATTTGAGTAAGCCATGCACTTTGGATGGGACGGCTTGCAGCTTCCACAAGCCAGTTCTTCCTAAATATATGTTATAGGGAGAGGGTGCTTGTACTACTGCATATTCCATTAATATGGTTTTCTAAATGTTACCTCGATTGTTTTCCAATGTGAAGGGTAACAAGATCTTCCCTCTTGGCCACACGGATTTGCCTGTGAATCATACCACTGCCGCCGTGGCAGGTTTGAGGTATCTTTGGACGCCCGAGGGAAGTCCTTTCAAGCAATGTTCGTACATTATGTTGGCAGAACTTTTGTTATCCACGTAAACTCTTCTGATCAACGTTCTTCCTATCACCGCCTTTATTATTAAAGATTCCATACCTTTGTGATCAAAGGGTATTGGATCATGGAGACTAAACTCAATGTTAGTTATTTTCCACTTCCGTGTTAACTTGTCACCGAGATCTTCTTCTCCTTGTATCATGGCGATTTCAGTATCATACTTGGCATACCATCGTTTTTTGTCATTCTCTTGTCGACTCTTAATGACCGCTTTCTCTCTTTTTCTATTTTTAAACTTTGACAATCCTCCGCCGTGTGACCTAGCTTTTTGTGAAAGTCGCAATATTTGCTCGGGTCCCGAGGATATTTTCTATTTTTATCTACGTTGTGATTGTTCGGGCTTCGTGGGGTATAAGCTTCACATGTTTCCTGTTAATATGGCTGGTAACGACCATTTCGCCTTCCGCTCTCGCTTTGGTGTGGCCTTCTACTGTAGTCATGGCGGGGCCGTCCACTGGGTTGAGACAGGTATGTTTCAATTCGTTCTTCCCTTTTCCCTCTTCCCGCCATGGCCTTTCCTTCCATCCTTGCTTTTTCAGCACTCTCAGCTTCTTGCCTTAGGAACCGATTATCTTTTCGTATCATTTCATCTGCATTAGCCCATTCTCGCCCTACCAGCTTTCGAAATTGTTCCCCTTCTAGGAGCCCGTAAGTAAACGTCGCTATGATCATAGGGTCATCCCGGGTTGGCATTTTCCTACTGATCTCATTAAACCTCTTAAAGTATGCTTTATTCAATTCTCCTTCATGTTGTCGACAAGCGAATATCGCGTGCACTTGTTGCTGGAACCTCCGTTGTTGTATGAAACTGTTACATAATTTTTAGCACAGTTCTTCGAAGCTCCCTATACTTCGAGGTGGTAAGCTAGCAAGCCAATATCAGGCAGATCCGTCTAAAGTTCCAGCGAAATACAAGCTCCATAAATTTGGATCCATTGGTATCATTTTTATTGCCCATTGGAAATTAAATACATGATCATCTGGATCTCTGGTACCATCGTAGGGTGGCACCCTCGATCCTTTCAACCCTTTGGGAATAAGCTTCTTGTTGATGTCGTCCGTAAAAGGAGAGTCGAAATTTAGATTCTTGAAAGCTTGGTTGTATTGCTTTTCTTCTGCTACTTCGGGTAACTTTTCTTGTCTTTCATGATCGTCTTCTGTATTGGATGATCGACCTACATTTTTCTCCTTCTTGCTTGACCTTTTTTCGTGAGGGCTTGACTCCTTTCCTTCTTCGTCAGAGTCTTCCGTTTGGTCTGTGTGGACAGAAACTCGATACCATTCTTTCTCTTTCTGGGGTTGCCTTTCATTTTGCAATTTCCTCATAGCCCTAAAGCTTTTGAATGCTTCAAATTCTTCTAACTCCATTTCTTCTGCTGTTTTGCCTTGTAGATTCGCTCCCTCATCGCTGATAAGCTTACCGGCGATTGTGTTCTGATGTCTCACCATAGTAGCAACCGCTGGGGTTGCTTCTGGGCCTTCAAGGTTTTGCATTCTCATGAAGGGACTCGCTCCAACTGCTGGTGTGCTTGGGCCGACTATTTGTTGCGAGGTCCCACGGATGGCGCCACTTGATGTGCCATCGGGTCCATCTTCCATCTTTCGCCCTTGGATTAGTTTTATCCAAGAAAATAGATTGACCTAAAGAATACAAACAAACCGTAAGCTGGTTAGCCGGGATGAGATCCCGGACGACGCTCCGACGGTTAAGTTAGCAAAAGGCTATATTATTGATTGACTATGGTGGTGAAGAGTTAAACGAGTGAAATGAGTATGGCCTCTGTGTACGTACCTCCTTGATGAGTCAGATTGCCTATTTATAGTGAAGGAAGAAGAGGTAACGAGTTCTTCTTGTATTGACCCTGTCATACCATCTTATCACATTTATGGTATTATGCTCGAAGGTACGACTAGTTGTACTTTGTATGCCGTTACATAGCTGTCATATGGCTGTGCTAGGATCCATCAGTCGCGCATCCTCGTATAGACTGCATTCTCATGGTTTCGATGTACTATTGCCACTGTTTCGACGTCACTTTGTACTTTCTCGTTGGTCTTTCTTTTCCTTTCAAGTCTTCATGCGAGTTCGGTATATAAGTGGGCAACTTCGAGACATATGGGGTCGGTGACTTCGAGCGACCTTGCAACATGCTGGTTCGGTATATTTGGGAATGATATAGGTATTTTCGGACTATATCCTATTACTTAGCATATTCACTTAATAGCTAACTCACACTGCCCAGAGTCCCACAAAGCACAAAGCAAGAAGCATTTGTGCAATAACACTCCAAGCCATACACCAATTAAAGGGCTCCTCAAGCTTACTGGCTACCAACGTCTTCGTCGCACTAACATTCTTCGTAGATTCTTCTAGGGAAACCACCACACTACTCCCCACCATAAGTTGCAGAAGGAACTCCCCCTAACACCCTTTAACTAGCTTACGAATACAATTCCATATCACCCACACCAGATAATTCTTCGAATGAAAGGTCTCACACTTCAACGGTTGGACTCAAACAAGAGTTGCGCTATAGGATTAAAACTTAACCTTCTAAAACTATCTAGTCTTAGTAATATGTAACTTAGTATATCCATATACTAGTTAGCTGAAGTTAATGGGAACTCCTAAAAGCACAAAGAAAGCAGCATTTGAGCATCGAGTAATCGAAACAAGCATAACCTAAACAGGCCATCCTTTCACTGACTGATCAGTACTAGCATGCAATTCTACAAGCTTATACATCAGGCATACAAAGGCATCTTTCCTAGATCCTTGGCCCTAATCTAGCATGCAATTCTCACAACAAATAACATAACAAACATGTATGGGTATTCTGGGAATCACTTACTTGAGATCGGCTGATTGAATGCACCACACCCCTTTGTTTTATGTGGAAATATTTTAATAAAATTTTTATTTTATAAAATTTTTACCAAACCCTCAATTTTAGTTTAGTCACACCCGAGAGTATACCCGAACCTCAAACCAAGGCTTTAATACCACCTTGTAACGTCCCAAAAATTATGAGGTAAAAACTTCATTTTTAATTCAACCAAAACACCAATTATATTTTAAACATATATTTATAGTGTAACATAATAAAACAGTCACCAGAGTACAATCCCAAAATCATCATATTGCAGAAACATGGGTGGATGCGCTGCGATCAATTCGGGCCCTTCCCTTTCGAACCAGAGTACCTGAAACCATCACCATAAAACCGTAATCAGAAATCTTAGTGAGTTACCCCAAAATACCCCATACCATACAAAAATACAGCCAATCATATATGGGTGCTTTCAATCCCCTTCTGTCTATTTCAACAAGATACTGTGAAGCATATATGGGTGTTTGCAATCCTCTTCGGTCTATTTCAACTGGATACTATCAAGCATATCTGGTTGCTTGTAATCCCCTTTGGTCTATTTCAACCGGATACTGTCAAGCATATATGGGTGCTTGCAATCCCCATCCGTCTATTTCAACCGGATACTGTGAAGCATATCTGGGAGCATATAATCCTCTTCGGTCTATTTCAACGGATATCGAGTCTATTTCACCCCTACCTCTACCACATAATATCATAACGAAAGAATCACATAATCATCAAGAAAATACATACATAACACACAGTTGTCACGAAGAAAATCGTCATACTACCACATAAAGTAGTGGGTCGGCATTGGTGCCTTCGACCCACAGATACAGTGAAGGAAACTCACCTCAATTGCTGAAACCACCAGATAAATGCTCGGATTGCTAATCCGGAAAATCTCGCACCAACTAACAATAAATACAACCTTAATTAATATTTAACCCACTAACCCAAAATCCAAGGCCCAAATCCATAATCCAACTTCCTAAAGGGCAAAAGACCATTTTTCCCTTCCTATAAGCGGTCCAACCTCTCATGGCCCAACCCCCAAAAGTCCCAAGACCCAAATTGAATTCCTAAGGAGTACGCCCCGCGTACCAGAAGTGTACGGTCCATGTACTCACCCTCAAAGCACAATACACAAGTTGTTTATGCTCGGAACCAGCATTACGCGGAGCGTACTTCTACGTACGCCCATCATACTTATCAGAGGCCCAATAATCCGAAATAAGCTCTTAATGTGTCACACCCCCGAACCCGACGGCGGAAACGTCTGAGGGCTCGTGTGACTATGAATTGAAATATCATCACAATGAATATACATGAAACATAACACAATCATCACCAAACATTACATATTACAACTGATATTGTTCACATCAAGTACATTGTCTTAGGTTACATAATTCCAAAATATTACTAGTACGATGAGTGACATTACACAAAATAAATCCACACACTTGAAGGTTCTTCTGCTTAAAGGTTACCTGAGAATACAAGTTATTTTGAAAACGGTGAACATATATAATGTTGGTGAGATCATAAGCATGTTTGAATGAAAGTCATTGTATTGTTTGTAAAACCCAGAAAAACCGATATTTTCTGTAAAAGTCTGAAAAATGATGTGAAAATCGAGTATAGATGCATGTGTGAATTTATTAGTAGTAACATGTATAAGTATGCAGTTCAAATTTCTTTGTATTCTTTCTGTTGTAAGTAGATGGTATTTGAATGATAGTATTTCCCCAGAAAATCAGATATTTTCTGATTTATAAAAATGTTGCGGTCCTTGCACTATCGTATGATTTGTTTTGTATCAATATGACTTACGAGTTTTAATTTCTTTAATGTCGTAATGGTAATGGATCTCTATTTGCATGTCTTGGCATTTTTCCAAATGCCATATTTTGATCAAGGTTTTGTCACCCTAGACTGGCCTAGTCTAACTGTAGCGAACAACTCAGGTGTGGGGGAGTCACCCCCATATAGATCTATACACAAACTCTCGCTCTCCCTCCAGGAGACTCTGATTATAACTACAGGCTACGGCCATACACTCAATGGAGTCAACCGACAAGTCTCACTAGATTCCAATTATTGCCACATGAATATGTATACGTTATATGTATTCAGAATTTCGAACACCAGATGATACATGAATATTAAAGGATAAGGCCCAACAAACATGAAGAAAAGACAACTATGGCCCATTAGACATGTAAGTTATTTCCAGTCTTCTTAAGTATGTCATGGACACATTGAAGCCCATTAAGCACATGATGAATTATTCCAGGCTAAATTAGCATGTAAATGGGCCACTAAGGCCCAATAACATGTAAAGGCTAATTTAGGCCCATTAAGCATGTAATTGGGTCACTGAGGCCCAATAGACATGTAATGAATATATTGGGCCCAATAAACATGCAAATGGATCATGAAGGCCCAATAAGCATGTATAGCAAGTACTAGGCTCAATAATCGTACCGTTGTTGTATTTCGTTTATTTGCTATAGCATAGCTCATTTAGTCGAAACAATTATCCATAAGGTTATAAAAAGTCCAGTGTTTTGTTATAATGATATTTTTAGTTTGATATGTCAACATTCTATAATTTGAACTCGTGTTTACCATAATTACACTTTAGGTCCCTTAGGAACTAAATTAAACATTTAAGGCTTATTTTTACAAAAATGTCATTTTTGGTCTATTTTACTTAAAAATAACGTTTTAGCCCAAATAATTATAAAAATTTATTTTTTCGCCCCAAATTTTTAGTAATTGACGGATTCGGTCCAAAAATACGTATATTGACATTTTCAGCCTATTTTTGCAGAAAATTACATTTTCGGCCCTTATTTGAATAAAATGACATTTTCGGCCCAAATTTTATAAAATTAACATTTTTGGACCAATTTTGAAATAAGTGTGATTTTCAGCCCTTATTTTCGTTTATTCTCCTTTTTGGCTCAAGTTTTGATTAAATAACATTTTGATCCCCAAAAATTGATATTTTTGCAATTTGGGCCCAAAAAGCCGTAAGGCCCAAATTGAGGCCCATAATGCAAAATATTACACTTTTGGTCCTTTGGAAAGTATTGTTGTTATAAAAACTCATTTTTATACAAATGGGACCCTTTTGATCCTCACAAAAAACCGTGTATGGCAAAAATTATCCCAATCTTTTGTTTACTTGCCAAAAATGGTCTTTATACAAGATTTTTGTTTTGTTTTTCACATCTAAAACATGTATAACACTTTTATCTTTGTAGTATGATGTTTAGAGTGTTTTGGTTTATGAATCTCACCCATTTTTGTTAGATTTTTCGAGATTCATCAAGTTTATCACATAATCACAACATAAACCAAGAAAATCACACATACATGTATATATACATAGATCTAAAAATGAACACTTGTATTCTCCCCCAAAAACAAGTAAAAACCGAAAATAAGGGGGTATGAACTCACCTTTGCTTGTTGTTCTCGGTTTTGAAGAAGAAATGGAGAGATCTTGTCCTTTAGCAAGCTTTCTTGAGTGATTTTCGAACTTAGAAAGTTTCTAAGAGCATGATCATGGAATAAGGCTATATAAGAAGGAGTTTTTAATGTTAAAATGGAAGAAGATGTTTGTGTTTGATAACAACTTACCAAAGGTTGAAAATACTTGATGAAGATCCTTGAAACACAAGCAAAATTTCGAGATACTTGGTGGAAGGACGA